CTAAGAGCTCCATCTCAATAGCAATGGCCTTCATCAATGGCCTCCATCCTAATAGCAATGGCCAACCTACTAGCAATGGCCTCTAAAATAGCAATGGCCTCCATCCTAATAGCAATGGCCTTCCATCCTAATAGCAAGCCTCCGACCTACTAGCTATGGCCTCTATCCTAATAGCGATGGACTCCATCCTAATGGCCATGGCCTCCATCCTAGCGATGGCCTCCAGGTCCTTCCTCATCCTCTTCACCCATGCATCGCCTTTACTTTAAGGCTGGGTGTTTCCAGTACAACAGGTTTTCTTGGCACTTAATTGCATCATTGCCCTGCACAAAGGAGGGTTTTTGAAAGAGTTTAGGTTTTGGACGAGCAGAATAGACATCACAAATTACACAACTAGAAGGCTTCAAAAGGCCCAAAGGCTTTAGGTGGAGGCCATCGCTAGTAGGTTGGAGGCAATAGCTTCTAGGTTGGAAGCCATTGCTATTGATTAGGTTGGAGTCCATTGCTTCTAAGTTGGTGTATTCTATACATTGATTCTAGGCTCAAAAGGCCCAAACTCTTCAGCTGCGCCAAAAACACCTGCAACACATGCAGCAGTTCACGCTCCTCCCGTGGATCCCGCAGTTCACGCTCTCCCCGCTCGGCCTCCGCCTGGTGAAACATCCGCTTCCCACGGGTCGTCCGAAAGCAGAGAACACGTGGCAACAACCACAAACCTAATAGCTACTAGTAACAAGTGCCTCGCTAGTAGTAACAAAGTTCGCTATTAGAATTAAACTTAAATTAAACTAAAATAGCTTCTTGTTACTACTAGTAAGGCACTTGTTACTAGAAGCGATGCACTTTTTCCTAATAGCTTCTTGTTACTACAAACGTCTTTTCCGGTTTCGAGTTCTTCTCTCCTAGTAGATATCACGCAATCACGCAATTGAAGATCTCTTCCTGTCTGCACCAATCACGCAATCACGTCCGAGAGAGGTGTTCTGAAAGTCATCGAAATCATTCCCCCGAAGAGCTTCTTTGAAGAGCGCTATTAGGTTGGAGGCCATCGCTATTGACTATTAGTACTCAAAAGAAGATTGTTTTTGTTCAAGTAGCGATGCACTTGTTCCTAGAAGCTTCTTGTTACTAGTGGCGATGGCCTCCACCCTAGTAGTTTCTTGTTACTAGTCGCGATGCACTTGTTCCTAGAAGCTTATTGTTTCTAATAGCTTCTTGTTCATACTAGTAAGGCACCTGTTACTACTAGTAAGGCACTTGTTACTAGTCGCGATGCACTTGTTACAGAGTCTCGCTGGTGTCTCGTCCGAACGACGTCCCTCGGGCCTTGGCCTCCGACTTCTGCAGCGCCTCGGTCGGTGACCGTCGGAACGAACCGTAAAAAGAGACCATGCCGTCAACGTGCAAAAACATGCAGGGGACATGCGAACAAGTATCTGAGTATATTGGAGCAAATCAAGAAATGCTTCATGCTTCCACTCAGTCTTGAGATCTTTGGAAGGTCTCTGACCGGATTCTACTTCTAGGAACAAGGACGCTACTAGGAGCAAAGGGCATCGCTACTAGGAGCAAGGACGCTACTAGGGGCTCCTGGTCTTACTACTAGGGTCTCTTCTGCGATCTCCCGACTCTGAGCGCCCCCAGCAGCACTGGCGTTCTTCGCCAAAGTCTGCCTTGGAGCATCGACCCGTAGATCAGGCGAATCTTCGGAACCTCCCCGGGTGGAAGCCCAACCTCCCAGTTCTCAGTCTGACGGAAGCGAGTCAGGACTCTGCTGTTTTTGGGTGGGACGCCATTGCTATTGAGAATATTAGGCTGGAGGCCATCGCGTTGGAGGCCATTGCTACTAGCAAGAAGCTACTAGTAGCCAAGGGCATCGCTACTAGTAAACAAGAAGCTACTAGTAGCTCCTGGCCTTACCAGGAGCAAAGGACGTGAGTTTCTTAGCCTTTGAGTTGAACGGCACGAAGCACGAAGCACCTGCCTTGATCATCGGCGAACCCCCGACGTCCGAGACATCCAACGATCGACTCCCATGCGTTCCGAGAGCTCCGCATGAGGTGAAGCTAAAAACACCCGATATGTCACCAGCAGTTGCCACAAAAGTCGACTGAGGGGCGTATGATGGGAGGATTTACAGAGTTTTCCTAGCTCTTTTTTGCTTTTTAGGATCGAAGTTCCACTTGGATCAGAGCTTCTACTAATGATAACGTATGTCTGATTATGTTTGTCAGAGAATGTGTCTCCTGTCTCATGCTGTTTCCATGATCCAGCGTCTCTC